TATATATATATATATATATATATATATATAATTTTTTTATATATTATATATATATATATCTTATATAATATATATATAATCTTTCAATAGCATTTCGTAAACTTCAACGTCTATGATGACAATATATATATTAATAATCTTCGCTAACTAAACTAAATGTGATATTATTGCAATTTAATTTCAAATTAATTGTTTTTATATTTTTGTATAGCAATGATTTGAAAAGTTACTTGTTGAACTTTGATAAAAATCATTTTTTTGTATGTTGATTGAATATTACTTATATAACAAACTTAGTTATATTTATAAATTTATATATAAAATTTTTGGTAAAATAATAATAGAATAAAAATGAACAAATTAATCATATTGTACATACATATTTAATTGTATATTAACGATGAAAATGTATCAATTCATCAATTTAATTGTATAATTCAAAAAAAGAAAATAAATGATACTATTTTAGATAAATGCGAAGTATTTTAAATAAATAATTAATTGATGATTAATTTTCTTTATTAACTAAATATGTAAATTAAATCGTTATAATATCAAATTGTATTTGAAAAAGATAGTAATATAAAGTAATAGTAGTATTAAGCAAAAATAATTTAAACATATTTTCTTCGTTTTATATTAGTTAATTTTCAAACAAGATTTTTTTTATATTTATACACATACTTTCATATTAAAAAAAAAATCTGCAAAATAATAAAATGATAATGATAAATGAAATATATTATTTTATGAAAAAGATTATTAATTTATAAATTAAAAAATATAAAATTAATAATAATACTAATATTAATATATATAAATAATAATAGATTTATATTATAATTTTCCAATTTTTATTTAATTATTTATAATTATACATAACTGAATAATTTATTGAACGACGAGGAAAGCTTCATTATTTTGAGCAGTTTAATTACCGGAAACTGTTACATTGGTATCAATTATCAAAATAAAAACAAGGAAATGAAAATTGTAATGTTAGAAGGCCATTACGAGAGGAAACAAGCAAGGATGAATCATGATTTATAAAAAGTTCTTTTGATGCTTTGAAATAGTTTGCAGAATATCATAAACTATTAAAAAATTCACAATTCATTGTATTATCATTCAAATTATAAACTTTTATTAATATAATGATTAAATTTTACATATAGATATGATAAAAAATAGCAATAAAAATGATAATAACATAATGATAACAATATCTAAAATTTTTTTTATTAAAAAAAATTTTACATTTAATTACATTTTCAACATAACTATATTGTTGTACAATACTGTAAAACCTGAATTATAACGCATCGATTAATCATAATTATCAGACACGTGCCAAAGCTCTCAAGAATGATTCTATAATCGAAAGTATCGTAAATTTAATTTTAGAAACATGTTTTATTTAGCTTGTAAATATTAACGTCATAAATAACTTCGATGCATACCAATAAATATTTGCATAGACATTATTGTATAACATTAACTAGTTAATTGATTCATGTAACATGATTTTATAGAATGGATAAAATAAAAATATAGAAAAACTCTTTATATAATCTTCTTTAGATTCTTTTTCTAATGAATTATATATTTAATAATTAAAAATATTTTATTATATTAAATATACCTATTTATTTTCATATGTTAATTATAAACAATTCAATTTTATATGTTTCTACGAATTTTCATTCTTAAAAAAAAAAAAACAATTTTTTATAGAACACGATATCGTACAAAGTTTTTATAAATTTTGTTTAAATAGCATCGAATACCATCAGCTCTTCAATTAATATCCTTTAATTGATTTCATGGCTTCTTTTCAATCTGAATGATGTGTCGCACCAGCATGAAGCCATTCATTTCAATGTATTCCTCAAAAAACGATTGGAAAATTACTAAAGAGCATTGAAAACGCCAAGGAATTCTTGAAAGCTTTACGAAATGTAAAATTTAGAATCAAGGTTAAAATGATTTAAATTTGCACTGTTTAGTTTATCTTTCTAACTAATACTTATAATATTTCAAAATTTTGGCATAAAATGATGTACTATGATTTTTTTATTTCATTCCTTGGCATTTGTACTTATGTGTTTAGTTGTGAATACTGCACTAAAATTAAACAATCATTTTTATACATATCATTGCATAAAAAAATAACTGTATAATGACGAATAAAACGATATTAATATTTTCTATACGTATACTATATAGAATATATTAGAATATCGTTTAGGTATCATTATGTTATAATTGTTCCGTTTGTTTCCGTTTGTTGATATTCTTTTTCTATTGCACTTTAATAATCTTATTTTAGGTTAAGTAGTTTTAATTTTCTATTTAAAATCTATTCTTTTGTTTTCTTTTTTTTTTACATCATTGTTATATTATCCAACTTATCTCAATTGAAGTAAAAGGATTAAAAGAAATTTTTTATTCGTTACTACATTTATCTATTTTCATTTGTAAAAAATAAAATTTTCTACAAAATTGAAAATTATTCAATTCACAATTGAACTATAATAATTTAAAATATATATATATATATATTCATTTTTATTATTAAAACACAATTCATCGGATATTAATTAAATATAAAGAAAATAAAAATTTTAAAAATTATTTCTATCAAAATAGGTTAGTAGAATATTTTAGCATATCTCACGAATTAATAATTTACGTTTTTGTATGTACAATAGAACATGAATTTAATATTTCAACAATTTTTTCGATAAAATCTTATTTTGAATAATTATCAATACTTATCTGTATTTGACTTGATATTTCTCATCCAAATACTTGTGCAAATATTTTGTTTCTTAATGGCGTCATTCCATAAAATTTATCGTATGTGTACACGTATTAGATCTGATTAAATAAATACTATTTATTTACGAACTTAAAATCAATGTTTTAATAATGTGATCAATAAAAAATAAATTCATTCAAATGGAATGTAGTCCAGAAATCAAAAGTAAACTGTATTATTTTACATTTGAGATGTAATTTAATATATCATTTGAAGATTTATAAAACTTTGTATTATTTCATTTCATGTACCTATTTTCCTTATATATTTTTTTTAATTAGATTTTAATGTCATAAATTTTTTATCATGTAAAGAAATGTTTATTATAATATATATAATAATAAAATGTATTTTACAGATTTTATCATTGTATGAAAATATAGAAGTAAATTAAAATTTATATAAACAAATATAAATATGATTAACTTCTTATTAATAAAATCTTTGATAAAATTTTTTTTTAAAAATGTTTTTTGAATACTAATTTACGATTTCTAACAGAATAATAGGATAAAAAAAAAAATTAAAAAAAAACGATTTTATAAAGTGCAATAATTAATTTTATAAACGTAAAATCAAATTATCACTTAATAGTCACCTTTAAATATTTTTTTTTGTATTATTATCAATGTTTATCATCAATGATGTAAAATTATTTTATTTATATATTCAATTCATGTTTATTTTTATTGTTATTAGAATATTTGCAACTACCAATACTATATAAGAGATTATAAGAAATAATTTATTGCACTTACTTTGATTACGAATTGAAATCGATATATGTTTTATGTATATAGGTTACATCGCATGACTCCTGTATACTACATAATATATTAAGTTACATTGATACATCTCGATTGATCTTGAGGTTTGTCGATATTCGACAGTTATATACCAACTGTAGCACAACATATAGATAATTATTTACTTATAAGAAATAAAACAAAAAAAAAAACAAAATATAATATAATAAATATTGTATAATGTATTTTAGATAAGAATAAAATAATTTATAAATTATAAAGAAAGGAAGAAGAATAAAAATTTTCAAAGAAAATCCACAAATTTAAAATTTATCCTAAATACGATAAAACCGGTATTCCTATTGGAATTCAGGATAGAAGGGATCGCTATATAAATAATACCTGCCATAGTTTATGTTAGTGGGTTAGCGAAGTATACATCGATCTTTAATAATTTCGTCTTTTCACGTTTTAAATTTTCTTGATATTTCCTTATTTGAATAGGTTTATTTTTATATAAAATCAAAAAAAAAAAAAAATTATCTTATATTTATTTTTTTTTATTACTTATTGTCTTCTTTACTTTGGTGGATTTAATTAAGTTTACAAATTAAATAAAAATCGATTATTACAAAAGAATTAAAAAAAAAGTGGAGAATAGATTAAAAAATGAGCTCAAACATATTGGTAAAGTTGTGTGGAACTAGATTCTTAAAAAATGTTGTTTTCGATCAAAAACAAAAGTGGATCACCGTTGGCAGAAGTTTTAGGTTAGTTGACTTCGATTAATTAACTAACACCTTTATCTTATCTTTTACTAACTTAATATGAAAAAATTTTAAATGAAAAACAAAGAAAATGATGGTCCAAATGGAAAAATATAATAATATAAATGATTTTCAATTTAAATATTTTTAAGCTTCTAATTGATCCCCTTTTTAAATTATAAAAATATTAAGCGTTTATTGATATGATAAATTTTATATATATCATGTGTAAATCATTTTTATTATTTTTTAATATAAATTGATTTATATAATAAAAAATGTATTATTAATATATAATAATTCTTATATATTATATTATATTATATTATATTGTAATATAATTAATTAGTAATACTATGAAATGAATTGAAATATTAATGTCTTATTTTTGATATTTACAATGTGATTCGTAACATTTATATCTATATTATAACATAAGATATGATGTTCTTTTTACGATATTTATAATATCTGTATACATATCGAGAGTTATCGAGAAAATAACGGATTCAAAACCTTGAATCTTGTTCTTGACGTTGTTTTTCTTTTTGTTTTTTTCTTTTTCTTAGATAAAATATCAATTGTTTACTTAACCTTCTTTTATATATTAATTTGTATTTCTTAACATTTAAAAAAATATATAAAATTTACAGTTGAAATATAAAAATAAAGATACAAAATTTATGAAAAATTTTACAGAGAAATCTAAAAATTAAAAAAATAATTCTTTTATAATTTCTATTATCTAGATTTTTTTTCGATAAATATATCGAGTAATTTTCCAAAAAGATTCTAAACACTCCAAACACTAGAATCGTTTACTTTTATTTTTATTTTTTATGATAAATCAAAAATTGTTTGATTGCTGATAGAATATAATAAAGTGTTAAAAGTTATAAAAATGAAGTATTTAAACTCTTCTCTCTGATTTATCATTTAGATATAATCAGTAAATAAGTACTGTTTTACTGATTAAAGATATTTTAATCTGATTAAAAGAGATTACTACTGGAAATAAAATAAAAACGAAATCATATAAATCTTGCAATATAAAATATTTTTAGAATCATATTTAAAATTTAACAGCAATAAATTATAAAAAAAGAATATTCAAAATCTATAGAATAGTTAAAATTATTATTAATTGTAATTAAATGAAATAATAATATATAATAAATGACATACATCTTCTGTAGCTTTTTATAGATAAGTACGAAGAGATTTTCAGTACGTATATAAGAATCGAATAATTTATTTAAGGAATGAGATAAAATTTTTCAGAAAATTTATAAACGCATCTACAGTATTCAAGGCAGTATGTAAGCTTGACATGCTTTCTATAAATGACAAGGAACCGGTAAATTATGTGGCATGTTTCTTAATGTAATACATATAAATGAGCAAGATGCTTCAAGGAAAATGGTATTCTTAATTCACAATACTGTTCAATATTTCACAACTGAAGCAAGAAGAATATATGAATATATTTGGAAAAAAAAAAGATCGAGATGTTTTTTGAAAAATAAAATTTATTTTTATTGTTTATTTAAAATTTCTCAAAATTGATAAATAATAATTAGATAAATAATAATAGAGATTAGCCAATTTTATTTGCACTTGAAAAATTGTCAAACTTCAGATACTCGAAAACGAATCCTTAAAAAATATTATTTCTTTTTTAGATTCATTTTTTTTTTTGTTTTGCATATAAAATCATGATTTAAGTGGATTAACATTTACATTTTTTATCGATGATGTACGATTATCTTTTTTATTATTATCTTTTTAGAACATGATTATGAGCACTCGAATGATATTGATAGCATGTATTTAATCGCGAAATAAATCTTAATACTTAGATAAAAATCGAATATTCTTTTTTTTTTAAAGAACTGAATATAAAATAAAATAGATAATTATATTGTTTAAAATAAAATATATATTATATTTATTATTCTATTATTTTCGTTGATTATTATATTTTATTATTGTTATTATTGTTTTAAGAAAAATTTTAATAAAAAATTTAAATGATGTTTTTTTTTTACAAATATTAAACATTATAGTCGAAATATATTAAGTTTCAACGTTGACGATATCAGTATGTCGACGCTCGCTTTCACTTTCGCATAATGATTTTCATCTGTTGAAGAAACACACTCTGTGTTCCATGATATAAGTGTATCATGTATTATCGATTTATAAAATGTTATTAATATTTCCAACATATCATTTATGTGTATTTATGAACGATAAAATTTTACTATATTTAATAAAAAAAGCAAAAAATTTCATTTTGTTCAACATCAATATTGTACTAATAATGACGAAACGATAAATTGATGCAAGCTAACAATGTGACAACAACAAATAGCTCAGACGTGCTCTAGAGTAGAGTTGTAAACTTGTTAATCGTTTAAAAGAATGGATAATAGTTCTTCAAACGATAAACTGTGTTTTAATTAAATGTAGACATTATGGTTAAATTTAATTTTCATACAAATAAAATTTATATGATAAATTCAAAACGAATTGGAAATAATGATTTCGAAATAAAATTTTATTCAATTCGTATAAAAGTTTATCAAATAATTGAGATTCGTTCTATCATTAAATACAAATTTAATATATAATAATAATAATAAAAAACTCTTCGTATATAACATAACATCATTTGGAAATTTTCATATATAACTATAAGATTGAGGATATTTGTGCGAATTAAAATTTTTACCAACACAAATATAGAAATAAAAATCTATTTAATTATTCTAAACATCACAATATGTACTTTACTTCGGATATTTTATATTTTTTGCACATCATATGTATTCTATCGATTTTTAAATTTTCCATAAATGCATAAACATCTACAGTCTATTTATAACAGATGGATAATAAAGCATGTATGTCGTAATATGTATGGATAAATGTAAAATAAAGTATAAATAAAAAATAAGTGTATAAAAAATGTAAAAAACATTATATATATAAATTAAAAGTACATATAAACGATTACCATTTACCATATTTACCATTCATAAACGATTTATTATTACATAAATAACAATAATTGTGTTAACTCTGATCTTTATTCTCCTTTTAATTCTAACACGACAAATTAAATTCTATGATACAAAAGGACAGTTATACAATTGTGTTTCTTATTTCAATTAACTCGTGAATCATTGATATAATGGTAGTTGTAATGTATGGCGTATAAAAATATCTGACTCAGACGCAAAAATTGAATTGAACGAATAAGATGTAGATGTTATATTTTCTTTTGTGCAATATATAAAAGATGCATTATGTTCGAAGTAGAGCTATAATAAGAATACATGTATAATAGTAATATAGTACATAACCAAATAAAAAACTTAGCGAAACGTATTATTGATTTTTTTAAATTAATACATTTTGTCATTACACTTATGTATTTCGGTTAATGAAACATATAATATTTATAAAATTTTGAATTTATTAAATTAATTATGACATTAGTAACGAACTAGTCTCTATTTTTTTTTTTCTCCATGTTTTTAAGTAATTCATGCAATTATGGTTGTTTTAGAACTCGTTGAATCATAAAGAACACGCATGAACAGTTAATGTTGATTAAAGATGATTATATAATTACAAAAGGAAAATGATTTCCTGATTGTGATACGTATGTGTACATGAAACTGTAATTTTTTTTCAGAAACGAACACGTTAGTGGAAACTTTCCATTCATTCGTGGCAAAGAACTATAGTATAAGTATAGTATAGTTTCTGTACTTCCTTTGCATTAATGGATCACTTGGCTACTGATGATCCACGATAGAAAAATTGGAATTTATTTAACATATTACAATTTATTTTAAATATTATTTTATTTAATATTATATATGATTAATAATATTAATAATATTCTTCTATTGTTATTTTTAATTTTTCCGTAACATGATGATATGTTACTGATGATGATCGAACTCAGAAATTTCAATTCTTTCATTTTTTTCTTAATAATTACTAGATTTATTCGGATTTTGCTTCTAAAGTTTTCATTCCTCGTTTCTTCGATTATATATCTGATTTATTAAAATGAACAAATGTTTCTCTTCTATTTAATCTTTCATAATTTTATAATTTTAATTTTTTATTTGCAAGTTACAATACCTGTTTTTTCCCTAAATCTATAATTAATATACAAAATTTTAAAAACAATTTTTATCTTTTAAAATGACTTATAATTTGTTTATTTTAGATAATTTATTTGTTCTTGTAAAAAATAATCTGTTATCAGATTAAATAAATTGCAGTGATTAGACATTATGAGCGATAAATTAGTGATTAATATTTAAAATTTAATATTTCATATCGATTATTATGCAAATGCTTATACAAGTTATATTTCATAATAGGAGTGAAAACTACTTTGTGAAAATTTTTTAATCAAAATATGATCTTATTTTCTCAATACTTTTAATTATATGGTGGCAATAAGTACGATGAGACGAAATACGATGAAACATTGCAAATTTTATTATACGTTTATATTGTATATAATTGCCTCTCGAATAATACGCGAGTTAGATCGCATATAATTTTTCAATTTAATATTTAATTGCACTACTAGATTAATTACAATAATCCACAGTATTCCATTTATCTTTAAACCTTATTTATTGGAACGAAATTCTTGTTAATACTTAACTAAATGAATTGCCTATTGAAATCACTTATCTTTTATTATCCTATCATAATTATTCTATCATAATTGAATGAGAAATTATAATAGTGGATAGAATCATTGAACTCTTATTCTGAAATATGAATGCATGAACTCTCACTTTTATATCAATGGTTTGTTTCTTAATAAGTTTTAGATAAATAGAATTATATTGTGTACTGAAAGCTATCTTTCATATTTTAATATCTAATTAGTTGATGTTACATTTATAATTTTATTATTATTCATAATAATAGACGATAAAAATTGAATAGTTAATTTGTGAAAATATGATATAAACTTACATAAAGTTCGAAATTTTTGATGAAATAAACTTAACCTATAAATTAAGTAATTAGACTAAAAAATGTTGTATGCAGATTAATAATAGAAATAGTTATTGGTAATTTATTAGTAATTTTATAAGGATTTATTGAAAAATTTGTTTGTCATTGAATTAACATATGGAATATTTTTCTCTTACTTTCGATATAATGTAATCAAGTTTTTATCACATAAAATGATAAAAAGAAAAATAAACACGTAAGAGAAAATTCCATGGCCATTTTAGTTGCTAGTTTTTTATTCATAATTGCTATACATATGTCAATATAAATGCAATGCTGTTTTTATTAATTAGCATTTAGTTTGCTATTACTTTTCACATAATACTGTAAATAAAAATTATACATTATATGTGTACATTAAAAATCGAAAATTTATTTTAATTTATTAAATTCAAAATATAAAGAAAAAAAAGAGAAGTTAATAATTTATAGGATAATTTATTCTTTTTTAAAATATGAAACATAAAAGAAAATATATAAAAAATTTTTTATTTTAAAAAAATGTGATTTTTTTTCTTACCAGATTTTATATTATTATATTTTTGAATATAAATTTGAAAACATTTTATTATATATTTTATTATTATATTTTCTGAAATTTAATGCACAATTTACCTTTTTTTTTCTGCATTAATTTATATGAAAATTACTGCTATGATAAATTGGTAAATGTATGTTGCCTTGACTACCAATTCATTTACAAGGTCGGATTCGTAATTCTGTATGATTAATATTAGATATCCCGTGTAATATTTATTTAAATAAAATTTTGATCTTTTATAAGTTGAATAAGAATTTTAAGTATTTATTTACATATTAATTCTAAATGGATTACAAAATATTATGTATAAAAAAAAATGGCAAAATAAATATCACGTAGTATAATATTTTTAAAAAATATTTTATTTAGTAAATTATAGAAAAAACTTAATTTCATTAATATCTTCTTAAAAATATCATTTATTTACATTACTCATTTGCATTTATAATAAAATATTTTTCATCATTAATATAATTTTTTGCTTTATACATTTAATCTTGCAAGTTTTATTATTTTTCCTTAATTTCATTCAAAATAGAAATATAAGCTTAATAAATAAGTTATCGAATACATTCTATACACTCATCGTTTACAAAATACGCTTACAATCTGACAAATTTAAAATACATACACATGATAGCGTGAAACTTTTTAATATATATTTACTATATTTTTATGTTCTATTCTATTTCACCAATTGTTCAAGGAAGAAAGAGAAAAAATGATAAAAATAGTCAAGAATGACCTTCGAAACGTTCGAAATATTTGCACGTGCGTGGTTAGGGTTATGATATCGGTTAAAGACTTCAGGAACGTCATTTGAACGCTTATTCGTAGACTGGCAGCATGCGTGTATATTTTCCGGAATAACACGCAGTTCCCGCGTGAATGATGCGTGATGCCTAATGCGTGTTGCGTGATATGTGGGCGCACCTCTTTACTCTATCGAAAATAAATCAAGAGAATCCTTTATACTTGTGTACCACTGCATCTAACACTTGCGAATGGATCCTCATTAATATTACAAAAATACGCGTTCCCGCTACTATGCGGCGCCACTATTCATTTAACTCTAAACCAATGTTGTTCGTTAAATATTGAAACGAACGATTCGAATGTAAAAGTACGTGTTAGAAATTTTTTTCTATTTGAAATTGAATAAACCTAGAACATAAAACATAAATTTTGAAATTATTTCCATTTTTCAAGAACGAGTTTTTATAATATGAGAAAATTAAGATGCAAGATAATTGAAATATTGAAATATGTGATGTTTGAATAATATATGTAGTATATACATTTACAAAATATATTTATTTACAATTTTTATCATGTTGCAGCATCACAATGTCACGTGTTATACTCAAGGAATCGCCGAATGCGGCCTTAGACAAAACCTTGTTAAATAAGTACCTCGACCTGCCTCAACCGGAAAATAAAATTCAAGCGAAATACATCTGGATTGATGGTACTGGTGAAAGTTTGCGAAGCAAGACTAGGACGGTAGATTTTGTACCAAAACATGCATCAGGTTAATTTATTTTATTATATTTTTTTTGTGAAAATATAATTTAACATCTTAGAAATTTTTAATTCTGATAAAACCTAATACTTTTTATTTTTCTTTAATCTTTGAATAAAACATGTTTTAAGAAAATTTTAAAACAAGAAACATTAAAATGTATAATAATTTGAATAAAATTTTATAAATAATTTTATTAGATTTTCATTCGGTTACTTACGGAAATATTTGAGTAGAAAAAATAATTTTCTTTGTTTATGAAAAAAAGTATAAAAAATTTTAATTATGGATTAAAAACATATGAAAAAAATATGTATATATCTTTTTCATATCTTTTTAAATTCATGACTTGTAATTTATTCAAATTGATATATCTCATATGATATTCTTATGAGTATTCTCTTTCAAAAGGACACGTACACCGAAAACCTCATTTAATATTGATTACAGAAACTTGACCATGAATATTTCTTAATATAATCTTATATCTTCAATAACTTTCATTACTTATTTATTTATCTCGTTTTATTTAAGTATTCTTTGTTTTTTATATTCTTTTTTGTTAGAAAAATTAATCTAATATTAATTTCAAATTATTTAATTTAAATTATGAAGATAAAAAATCTGATTATTTATATTTTCTATATTTATTTGCGAATAATATTGTACTTTTTATTTAAAATTTATATAAATAATGAAAGTAATTTTTTAACAATAATAAATATGAACATTAATACGTATAATTCGATTAATCGAAATATATTCATATTCTAAATATATAATGCTTGTTGCAAAAGCATTCAGTTATCTTATAAATAATGCAATTATTATCTAATTATCTATTACATTATATTACTAATTACATTATATAGGAATTATATTTAATAAATTATATTAAAATTTTATATACGTTAGATATTTCGAAATATTCATCATTTTTTTCATTTTTTACATGGATGTAATTCACGAATAATATAAGATGAATATTAATACCATATCTGTAAAATTATTACTACTTTTTATGCTCGATACATATTTATGATATTCTATATGCCATTAACTACAGCGCATAAAATATAAAAACATTTGAATGTCAACGATTGGTAGATTCGATTATACAAGATAGAATGATCGTTTGTCAAATTATAAAATAATATTGATATTCAAATATATTTCAATAGTTGAAAATCGGAATTATGTTTTTTTGGTAATCTTTTGGATTACAGCAATTTTTCAGTATTTTCATTTAATTGAATCAGTTTAATATCACTAATATTTTTAAAAGATTATATTAAAATTTTATTATAAATTTAATATTACTAATAGATCAGATTAAAACTATAAAGAATTCCATAATATACAAATAATTGAAATAAAAAAAAAAATACAAAATTTATACCAATTACATATTAGAAAATATTTGCTAATCAAGTATCAATTTCTTCTTTTTAGATTTACCAATATGGACCTTCGACGGTAGTTCAACTTACCAAGCAGACGGCGCAAACAGCGATATTTTCCTTTGTCCAGTGGCAATTTACAACGACCCCTTTCGTCGTGGAAATAATAAACTAGTATTATGTGATACCTACTATAGCGACATGACTCCGACTACATCTAACAAACGTTCCAAATGTAATCAGGTCATGGAAGCTGTTAAGGATGAAGATCCATGGTTTGGAATTGAACAAGAATATACTTTTCTTGATTTTGACGGTAGACCACTTGGTTGGCCAAAAAATGGTTTCCCTAAGCCTCAAGGACCGTACTATTGCGGTGTAGGCGCCGACAAAGTAATTGGTCGCGAAATCGTCGAGGCTCATTATCGAGCTTGCCTTTATGCTGGCGTAAAAATTGCCGGTACTAATGCAGAAGTCATGCCCTCACAATGGGAATTCCAAGTCGGTCCATGTAGTGGAATATCTGCTGGCGATGATTTATGGATTGCTAGATTTATTCTTCATCGTGTAGCTGAAGAGTTTGGTGTGATTGTAAGTTTAGATCCGAAAATTATGGACAATTGGAATGGTGCAGGTGCACATACAAACTTCTCGACAAAATCGATGCGTGCCGAAAATGGCATTGCCGAAATTGAAAAAGCAATCGATAAGTTGAGCAAACAACATCTAAGGCACATTCAAGCGTATGATCCACGCGGAGGAAAAGACAACGAGCGACGTCTGACTGGAAAATGCGAGACCAGTAGTATATATGATTTCAGTGCTGGTGTGGCCAATCGTAATGTTAGTATTCGCATTCCTCGTGGAGTTGCTGAAGAAAAGAAAGGCTATTTGGAAGATAGAAGACCTAGCAGTAATTGCGATCCTTATTCGGTGTGTCATGCTTTGGTGCGCACTTGTGTTTTAAATGAATAAAAAAACTCCAAGTTATTTCCAAACAGGCAGCGGAAAGGAGAAATTGGACGAAAAATTTTGTAGTGCAATAGTAATCGTATCTTCGTGAAGCATATTCTATGAAAATGTATAAAATTATTTCTAAAATTAAAAATATATATATATATATAAAAAAAAAAGAGGATAAATGCGAGCGAGATATTTGATAAAAACATAAATTTACTTTTTCTTCTTTTGTTTTAATGTATTTTGCAAAATTTTTGCAAATCAAACGATTTATAGTTTTTATTTAATATGTTTAAAGAATATAGTAAGATCGTTAAAATTATATATGTATACATTAAATATTAAGAGAAAGTTATTTTTCGATTATTTTCCGCGCACAGAATGTTTAATGCTTTTTACAGTTATTTAATTATAGCATCGCAATAAGATGAATTTCATTTGTTATATCGTTTAATATATTGCATAAATGTTTTGAAATCAGAATGATTCATCAACTATTGTTCATAAATCTTGGTGCTCATAAGAAGAAAATAGAGAAGAAAATATGTATGTCAAATATGAATATGTATACTATACTTCAATGATATATTGCATTTTTTGGAACAAATTTTGCGATCAGTTCATATGCAATAAATCATCTGATTGTTTCCTTCCTGAGTGCTATGATTTAAAACATTAGGATAACAGATTTTAAGGATAGACGCGATAATCTTATGAAAGTACTAAAGCTGCATACATTTAATCTTCCGCATCTCTTTTGTTTTTTAATACATTTGAAAATGTATATTTGGTTAAAATACTACAGTGATGTGAAACGATTTATATACCGTTTATAAAATTTATCATTTAAACGGATATTATTACAGAATAAAGTAAAACACATAACGCATAATATTATATTAAACATTGTTTTAATAAAATATATGTATCTTTTGAATAAATATAAATATTTTTTGGTACCTGAAATGCTATAATGAGTGCCATCGATTGTATATCGCTATAATGTTATATTATATTTTATAAAGGCACAACAAATTGGAAAGTTGAATAAATACGTCCTTTATCACAGTTATCGTTTGAATTATTACTCGCGTATTGCGAAAGCGATAATAAATATTAATTATTATGTTATTATAAATACGTATATATGAAAAAAAGGAAAGTCGATGTAAGTGTGTATTTTCATATTTGTATGGTATATTTTCATATTTGTATTTTCTATGCTGACTTCTTCAATGTAATTGTATACCATGACCATTGTTGACAATTTTGTTGGTAGTGGTTATCATTATTGTTGTTATAATAATAAAAAATAACATTTTTGATGAATAATCGATATTTTTTTCTTTATATAGAATATTTTTTTTTATATTATAATATAAAAAAATTTTATATCATCATTAGATATTAAATTATATAAAAATAAATATTAAACTAGATAGAAATATTAAACTAATAATAATCTATGATTTAAATATACATATATATATATATATTCATATAATGTATTATATATATCATATAATATGATATATATACATACGTACATACAATATGATCGCGCTAATATAGAAACATAATTTAATTTATATAATATTATTTTCTAATAATTATTTTCTTTATGCTATTACATGTTTATGTAGTATATACTTGTTTTCATTGTGTAAATGATATTCGTTTTATAAATTTCCTATACCACATATACGCAGTTGCAGCAGACAGACAATACCATGTAAGAATGTAACTTAAATGCTCATTTCGTAATTCCACTATTGTTTGACCACCAAGCGGATATTGATTTGGATTATTGTTAGCAATCATTTCTATATATATAGGAGATGCATCCCCTTTTTTAGCCATAGCATCCACATCTCTAAAAAGTAAATAAGTATATAATTATTGTACTATTATTAATGCTTTAATGAAACTAAAAATTAATTTCATGAGAAATAAAAAATATCCGATTTTACGTTATCGATTAACTAAGATATCGTTATTTTAAGATAATTATAATATCTTTTAAAAATGATGTAAAAATTATTGATAAATAATTATCAAAATTTTAATTTAAAATTACATTAATAATAATCAAAATTCCTTAAAATTAGTTTTTTAAACGATTAATAATATGAGATTTTAATATTATTTATTGCTGTTTATATTAGTTTAGTAGTTTATATTAGTCTATTAGAAGAAAAATATATTTTTATTACCTATAATACCATATATTATTATGTGGACGATTTTTAGGAACAAAAGGTGGTCTTCGTTCACTTATTCTTAAAATTCCAACAATTTCTGTTTCGCCTTTTACTTGATTTTCTTGTTGTTTTAATGAATGTTTAAGTGATTTTGGAATCCAACCTCGATTCACCAAAATTGTTAAACTAATAAGATATTTTAAAACTTTACATCAAAAAAAGAATTTATAATATTTAAATAAACTTAAAAACTTTTATTTACTCTCGATTTGCTAATTTAAAAGGTGTAATGATATGATATCCTCTTCCTCCCTTATTCATAGCAAAATTAGTTTCTACTGGTTTACCATCTTTTATTAAACTTTTATTAATTGCCACAAACTCATTGTCATATAAAAAAGTTCCTTTTACTTTAATAGGGTAATATTCTTTTGATTTCAAATCTTCTAAACTAAATAAAATCATTTATTACTTTATATAATTTTTCAATTATAAATTTAATTATAAATTACAAATTTAATTTAAATCTTACTTTTCTGGTAATTCAATTGGTACATGATTAGTACGACTTTTCAATTTATCTATTAAATTTCTTTTCCACTGAAGTCTTTGAATTTGCCATGTACCAAGCATAAAAGCACAAATTGGTATGCTCTATTTTAACATTTTTTTTAATATAAAAAAATATTTATTATTTATTAGTCTATAATATTCATTATTTTTAATATTTATATATAATATTATTAATATATATAATATATATTATAACATTATAAATGTTATATATAATATTTATGATTTTAACTTACCAATAAACAATATTCGATAAAAGAAGTTTTTTCTTTTGAATCATAAGAATTATCATATTTATTTTTAAATAGGTTAGTTTTGAAACTTCTATTATATGGTTTTTGAATATTTATAACATTATATGATAATCGAGATAAATTTTCTTTGCTTAGAAATCGAGTAATGATAACATAATATGGGTTTCTTACTTTCGTAAAAACTTTGATAATTGGTAACTTCATTATTTATATATATTTGCTTGAACTTTTATAGGTTATGTTTCATCTACTTTGAATAACAATAAATATATAGTATTAAATTACATATATATGACAAGTAGGATAATATAGAAATAAAAAAAAAATTTTTTTTTCTTAATTATAATAATGAAAAAAATTAATGATAAAATTTAAATATATAATCATATTATTAACATTATTATTAATATAAAAAAAATTAAATATTATAATAAAGTATCAAAAATTTTATGAATTATTATTATACGTTATTATACATATTTGTATATTAAAATATAAAAATTCTTTTTTTATTTTTAAACAAAATTCATATTTTATATTTTTAATTGGTCACTATTTGTTAATCTAATTATTAGTATACATTATAAATATAAATATTTATAACAAAACATCGATGATTTCAAATTTAATAAAAAGTAAAAATTAAACATTAAATTCATATGAATGTTGTTCTATATAATAGAAAAATAAGTTTTTTCTTATTTTTATGCTGGCTAATTCATCAATCAATCAGATTTTCAAGCCATTTTTTAATATATAAATTTCGTAAAATACGTATAGCAAGAAAAACAATTGGTGAAAAAAAGATAGAAATAAATAAAAATTAGCGCTATCTATAAAAAAAGCTAATGAAACTAATATGGACAAAGAATAGAAACAAGATACAGATATGGTAAAAATTAGAGCTATCCTCAGATGCTGTAAATGAAATATATATAGAAAAAACAAAAAATAGTGGGAGAAGAATAGAAATAAGTTAAGAATTGACTATTAACGCCATCTTTTGAATTACAAAGATATTTTTTCAAAAAAAAGACTAGAATAGAGGATTAATGCCATCTTTTTTAAGCTTAAAAAAAAATATTTAAAAAAGATATTTCGAAGTTCAAAAAATGGTGGTGATTATTAATTCTTACCCCTATCTCTATCCTTTTCTCATTATTTCTTGTTTTTTCTATGTGTATTTCATTTGCGGCCTTTCAGAAATACTGATTTCAATATTTTTATTCTATTTCTGCCCTTTTCGTGATATTTGGTTTTCTCGTCTATTTTTACCACATAAAAGAGATAAAATACAGAATATCAATTTTCTTTTCTTTAAAATTAAAATATATTTTAATTTCTAATGTTAAAAAATATAGATGTTGCATTCTATATATATTGATTTTATGATATTTCGATATTATATAGTAATGAAATAGTATTTATTTATTGAATTTTTTAATTTCTTTTATATATAATTATTCATATTTAATTATTTTATATATAAATGATTTTCAAATATTTGAGAAGATCGTATATCATAAATATTATTTTAAAAAGTATCAAAAAAGTTGAAAAAATTTTCCCTATTATTCTAATTTCGTCTTTTAAGTTTAATAAAAATTTATTTATTGTTTATCATATGAGAGAAGCATAAAAAATGAAAGAATAGCAATGAGAAATGAAATCACAAAAGTGAATTACGTGAATAATGAATAAAAATTAATTTTTTATTACAAATAATATCTTGCGATTTATCTTATTTTTATTCGTCATAATATATTAACGATATTATCGATATATCGAATAACATTTAGATATTATCGATATTTATTGATAATTTTACCTTTACTTTGTACATACTCGATAATTCCGTGGGTGGTTATAAAAGCAATGAACGCCTTTCCTCCTTGTCTCAGTCGATGAACGTCCCGCAATCTATTTGTTTGTTCAGCATCGATACGTATCGTTTCGAATCGATTAGCAAAAAAATTATAAACACGAAGAAAAAAAATTAGTAAATCGAAAATAAATAGAAAGAAAATGGATTAATTGTAAAAGTTGCAAATAAGAAAAAAAAGTGATTTAAAATGCGTGTTATTATAACATTGATTATCACGATATTCTTCGTTGTTTATGTTGTCGATTCTAGTATTACACGGGATGAAGGTAAGATGATATTATTATTTTGATGTTTTCATTTTTTTTATTTTTATTTAAATTTTATAAGAATTTCTTAATTATATATATATATATTATAAAATGATGAAAATTTGAAAGAAATTAAAATGATTCAAAGCTTTTTAATCTCAATATAAAAATTATCGAATTCTTTGATTTTATTTATATTTTAAGATATTTTAAGATATATAACAATTGAAAAACAAATTTTTTCTATTTTATTTTTGTTCTAATTTTTTCAGATGTGATATATTGATATTATTTTATTTTCTTTTATTTTATACAAGAAAATATTTTAAAACTTTAAATTTCTTAATATTATTGTTATAAAATGTTCTAAAATTAATTATAAAATATTTAATTTTATTAAAAACATTAATCTTGAATTCATAATCAAAGTCTTGAACTTTAATTTTAATTTATATTAAATTTCAATTTGTTTAAAAATTTTAAGCTATTATTTTTTTATTTGGCTTTTTGAAAATAAAACAAAGTGAAGTATAGTAAAACACCGTCGAACTGTTCTCATAAGATATTTACGGTATTGCAAACCAGTCTCCCTGCAAGTTGACAAAAAACCCGATAACGGCTCGCACAGGGCAATAAATTGTTTTCACAGTCAACATTTTAGTTTGAAATTATTGTTCTCACGTTCATGTTCAATTGTAGAAATAAATTACTTCGAATTCGAAATTTAAAAGTTTATGTCATTTAATATTGCTTTTCTTCATTCAAATCTGTTTTGTAGATCTGGAGAAAAATCTTCGAGAAAGATGGAACGACGACTTTGCCATTGTTTTTTCAAACATCAAATCAAAAAAGAAACAATTTCAAGCAATGGTCGAAGTCCTTTTAACAATAAAGTATGAAAAATCTAAATCAAAAATGGTACTTATGCTCGACAGACGAGCAAAACGAGGTAAAAGAGAGAGCTTTTGTAAAAATTCACTTTTCACCTTCTCATTACTTATAAATCTTTATAAAATAACATTTTTTTGCACAAGTACACCTATATCTTTTTCAATAATAATTCATTTTTTTTTCAGAATTTCATTTTATCATTTTCTCATATATAAAAGAAACCGAAATTGAAACAATAATCATATTTCAGTAATCCTCGAGAATATCGACGAAGCTGGCCATCGCATAGCACAGCATATTAACATGGACAATTTAAATATGAATTCGAATTTTCCATCAAAGAACATAATTTTCCTGTTCCATCAATCTCAACCAGGAGCTCGAATGGCCGTTTACATCGATTGCATTTATCGAGGCGTGATACCTTTGAAGAAAACCTTCCGTGAATTAGCAAATAGCGAAGATAACCTTCTTATAGAAGCGGTGAGTTTTTATAGCAAATAATTTCCATGTTCGAAAAAAAACTTGAAGCTTTTTGAATCTCGAAAAATTTTTACGTTTTGAAGAAACTCTTTCAAAATGTTCCTCAATTAAAACACATCATAGAATTTAAAAATTATAAAATTTCGTATATTGTCCTCACACTTATTTATTTCGCATTTTTAAAAAAAGTGCACTTATCACCATTTTCTTATTC